CCTCCGCCTCGACCAATCAGAGGCCGCCGAGGCTGCTCCGAAACTAATGCTGCTGCTACTGCTGCTGCTGCGTGCCTGGCTGGCTGGAGGAGAAAATCCTCCCTGCTGACATAAGTGCGAGTGTTCAGGGTGAATATGTTCACTAAAGGAGATTTCATATCATTCAAGCAAAAAAGAAAGGATGACATGGATGTAGATGTTAAGAAGTTGCTTTGCAAACCAGAACAAACACTCTGTGTTCCTTATAAGGTGACAGTTTAATGGGTACAATTCAGGTAAATCAAGTTCATAAAAGAATAAACCTAATAACTTTATCATTCAGCACTAAATGTAGAATTCAGTACTCAAGGAAGCAAAATATGTATAAAAGAGCACTACTTAAGTGGATCATCAATTCTCAGAACTGTTATGACAAATAAAGTCTATGTTTTCTTTGTTATGGATTATTGTAGTTACCAGAGCTTTTCATTCAAATGCAAGGCTTCATTCAATAATTTAGTCAAGTGGCATGGTCTTTTTCACACGTTTTACCTCACTTTTGACAGTACAGTGGTGTAAAATGTATATTATGTAAACAGCAGTGATACACTTCAGCACAGTGTTGGCCACAATCCCAGTGCAGTTACTTTATATACTGGGTTGAAAGTGAAGGCATTGCCCTCCGTGCACATTTGAGGGAAGCAGCATGTTAATAAAACCCTTTTAATCCACAATAGCATACATATGGCTTCATTCTCTTTTCAGATTTTCCACACAAGTGCATCTGCATTGACCTTGACTAAAGGCCATGCAGAAGGCAGAAGATAACCTGACGGCGGAGAGGCACATTTATGGTTACCGCAGCATGAGAATCAGAACTTCCTGTTGTGCAGAGCTGCAACCCACTGCAGTGAGTCTTTTTGACCTGGGCTCAGTATTGTTTTGCGGCTCACCTCCTCCCAGTGAAGATTGTGGCTGCTCACCACCTAAGAATCAGGAAAAGATTTAATGCAGATGTAACTCAAATATGAGCTTATGAACGCTGAATGTAACATGCGTGTTCTCACCATATTGTTAATATCCACCGTCACCTGGCTGGCTATGTCCAGGTGAATGTTTAAGACGGTGGTTTCCAACCAGGCGTTATCTGTGTTCCTTTCGTCATCCACGTAGCATTCAAACACCTGCCTTCCCACAGCCTGAAACACAGCAGCAGATATCACAACTTCCAAATTCAAATTCAACATATTCCTTTTCCACAGATTGTTTAAATCAGAAGCAACTAAAACTTTTCCAGGAACAGTGTTTTTTTTAAATCAAAATAGCTGCACCTCTTTGCATTGAAACTTAACTTGTACCCCTGGTTGTGTTTAAAATGTATTTCCCTGCATTAAACCTCGACTTCATAGAAATGAAGCAAAACCTTCAAACGCACCTTTATCCCCTCTGATACTTTTGCTTTTATCATCTCGTACAGCTTCTTTCCCAAGGTTGTTTTAAGAGTTGCTGGCAGCTGATCTGGAGACTCCATAGGCCCCTGAAAGGTTAGACCAAATCATTTACAAAAAACAAAACACAAAATGCAACATTTATGATGAAAACTGCCATAAGTAAAAACCACCAGTGGGAAACAAACAAAAAACGCTCACCCCAGGCAGAAAAAAGCTTTTTTGCTCCTCATCCAAAACCGCCAGGAACTCAAGCACGGACCCCTTGCTGTCTTGCCAGCTGTAAATTCATTCTCAAACAGTTAGATCATGCTGAGTGGCAACAACATTGCTTTTAAATCTCTGTATGGCAGAGAGAGAACCTACCGTGTAACCACAAGATCTAAGTAAAGGTTTGGGCCGAGGTGGTTGAGGACTCCTCGTCCTTTCATACCCGTCCTCCCTCTTGGGTTTCTAACAACAAGAATCATACATCAAAGCCTTCTCAGGCTGCTGAATTTTCTTCTTGATGCTTGGTGTACTTTAATTGCATCATACCTGTATTTCTCTAAGGCCTCTGGCTCTGATCTGTAAGGAGATCATTTGGACAAATGAAAGCTACGCACATGTAAGGAGAGGCTTTGTCAGAATTCCGTCAGGAAGGTTAAAAAATGTTCAAATGATTTAGTTCAATAAGATCCCAAACGAAAATTATAATAACGTTTATGTCTTCGAGGATCACTTATCTTTGGGAAGAAAAAAATATATTAGGAGAAAAAAAGTTTTTTTAAATTCATTTTTGGATTCTTTTCCAAGAAGAGACTCTCCGTTTTCTGATTGGTTATGTGATGTCAAGACATACCCGTCCACGTGGTCGCCACCAGTCTCAGGAGCATAAGAAGTTGGCATGTAGGAGCTGAAGCTGACCTAAAAAGAAAGTGTACAAAAAATGCCTGAATCCAACAATATTCTGCAGTCGGGACCAGCAGCTGGTGATTTGGGCAAAAAATACCTTCCATGGCACTTTCTCGTCTGGCACGGGAAAACGTGTGAGCTTGCTGTTTGGGTAGGAAAACTGACGCGCTTTCACATGGTAACCGTCCTTTGTTTCCATTGTGTTCCTCTGAGAGTCGGGAGCCTGGTCTGTTGCATCCGCAGCTGAAGCAAAACAGCGAAAGAGGGAGCAGACTATTGGAAAATTCTCATGTGATACACTTAAAGAATTGAATGGGGAAAAAAAGAGTAACTTAACAACTTACGCAGAGACTGTTCTTCCTTTGCACCAAATCCCTGAGATTTTAAACTGTTCATAATCCACTGCAGGGCTTTGGTTGACTGGACGGCCTGGGAAAACAAAGTGAAGTGGCAAAAGCATCATTTATGTTTTTTTCTTAGTTTGTTTCATCATAAGCTGCTCTCACAGCACATCATCCAATTCTAAAAGCACAAGTGCAACCTTAGAGAAAAATCAGGCCACAACCTGCTCCTCTAGTTGAGCGAGTCTCTTCAGCACGGCAGCAGAGCTCGACTCCTCTTCCCTCTCCAGCCGCTCGCTTATGGAGGAAACCCTCAGGAAAAAACCAAAAGAAAGTGAAAATGTATCTGTTTTCTTATTGAATATTAAGCACCACTCAAAGTTATGTAATCATGTCCTGATCCCTGTGTTTTTTGTGCTAAGAAGTAACTAATTTGAACTTTTTCACCCCTGGTCGTCAATATCTTACATTTACAAATAGTTCAATTTTAAAGAACTGTGAGCTTCGGGACTTAGAACAATACCTAAATTTAGATCTTTAGGGCTCGTAAAGTTAATATTATTTCAAGATTGCCAGTTAAGTTCAAATGGAATGATATTACTGTAGCTGCATAAATGATAGAATAAAATTATAGCGTGTAATATTTCTTTGGGATATTTGCAAGCTGATAAAATAGTGTTTTTTGTTTCCTTTTTGTAGTTACAGTACATATGGCAGTACTGTAACACATACACTCCTTTTGGTTTTTTACTTTTGGGCTGTATCCAGGATGCGTCTGTCTGTGCTCTGGTTTTTCTTCTGCTGTACAGACTGTAGGTATCTGTCCTTCATCAGGGCCTCCCAGGACAACAGCTCCTCTTCCTCTCTCTGACCGAGCTTATTCCCTGAAAAACAGCATTGTGTGCCTTGCATCACTTCCCTTCTCATTTCTGTGCATTATATGCATACATCAAGGTAACGTTACCTCGAAAGCAATTTGTAATTAACACTGCTAAAACAAACACGTGGCCATGACGATGTAAAAGTAAGAATCCAAAAATGAGTGAGATTAACAAATAAATAGAGGGGCTGTGATGAGGTTGTGACTAATTGACTGAGCTGAACTGTTGATTAACCTTTATGAACGCAATGCCAAAAGTCATCTTGTTGTCAGATTTGTTTCAACATTTATGACAGAACAATGTTATTTTTTTGCCTAAAATCAGTAATTATGTCCTTAGGTTTGCCTACATGTCCACGAGGACGAACTGTGGATAAAAAAATCTGCACTCCATGAATGTAGAAGGGTCAGATTGAGTGAATCATCAAATGCGACGCCAAGGACATTGGCTTTGACACGTGTTGGAAGAAAAAGAAACTGGAGAGAGTACACAGCCTAGTGGTGAACCATGGTGACATTTACATATTAGCCTTTGGCTTTAAAAAAAGAAATCCTTCAGCCAATAATGAATTCCTTAGGTCAACGTTATTTTAGCTCCTTAAACTTCCTATGAAATCATGTATCTGGATACAGTCCTGATACAATCTTTTTAAAGAAGTCTTTGGAGTGAGCACCAGAAAACTGTTAAGATCTTCACTGCTTTGAAATCTACACCCTTCTAACCTAACTATTGCAAAAACAGACAACATATAATGTGAAGGACTCGCACGTCCTCCAAAATAACCCGCAGCGGAGGGAGAGGGGGGTAACTTCAAGAAATCCAAATGTATATTTATCTTCATCATAACTGACCAAACAAGATCTGCTCAAGTCAAACATACTGAGACCCTTAATGAATATGTGTATGCTGTGAAAGTCAAGTTCTAGCACGCTGCAAAACGATTTTGGATCTTTGGGCATGAAGGCCTCGGCTCTTACTGAACTCGCTGTAAATGATGGGGGGCTTGCACAGCACCATTCTCCTCATGAAGAGGCAGACATGATTGAGGATGATGAAAGGAGGCGGTGCAGCCGGGCGACTGTGGTACTCCTTAATCAGCTCGTATCTTTGAAACTTCCAGATCCTGTCTGTGTTGTCCTGAACTTCCTGGAACGTGAAGCTGCGATGACGAAGACACACAAGGAAAAGAAGGCAGCGAGGCTCGCAGTGACTGCGGGCGCAGAGGAGGCTCACACACCGATTGAGGCTGAGGAGGACTCACTTGAAGATGGCTATGAGCAGGTTTAACAGCAGGATGTTGGCAAAGAGCAGGTAAACGCAAAGCATGACGACGGTGAGCCACACAGGGAAGGCTGGCGTTTGGTTGTCATTCAGCACGGGACACTTTGGCTTTAGAGGATCTGTTCCGTTCACGCTGCACGAGTTGACGTCAAATTGCGCATCTGAGGGAGAGAAACACTCAGTCTTAGCAAAACTAGCTTTAAACGTCTACACATTGATAAATATTTCACCAGACAAAACCGCACTGTGTCTGAGCTATCAGACAATTAATACTACAACTGTGTACGGCTCCACACACATTCGATATCATGGGGAAAATTCCCAAATATGATGAGGTATGGCTCGTAGACCGCCCCGCGGAAAATCCAGTCCAGCCGGTCCTCGTTGTGGATCAGAATGCCTTGTTTGGCCACACCATATGCCACCACCCAGATGCTCAGTAGAAACATGAAGAAGAACATGTCCATCATCTGGAGGACAAACAGACACTGAAACCTGGAGCTGCAGAAATATACATTTTACAAGTTCTACTGGAAACATTTCAGAAAGTGAATGAACCTACTCTCATCCTGGGCAAATATCACCCTCTACTAAACACACTGAGCTTATCTCTACGAGGTCAGCCTGCTCCAGAGTGGATTGTAATGATCTCACCATCCTTCTGACGATAATAATTTTGGGTCCCAGGGTTCGACTGATAGTGAAGATGGCCATGAGGCGGAGGCAGAAGACCACAAAGTCGATGCAGAGGATGACTTTACCCGCATAGAACAGCACATCTGTCAGCCTGAAACAGGCACGTTTGATGAGTAACAGATATGTGATGGAGATTTTCAAAGCTTGAGGCGTTTGTCTGAGATGTAGAAACATTTACCTGAAACCAAGGCCAATAATGAACAGTATGATGGACAGGACGTCTAGAATATTCCACAGGTCTCTGATGTACATCTTGGCCTTTTTCTCAAAGCCAAAACCGTCGGGATCATAAAACAGCTGAGACAGAGAAGATCGATTTAAATGAGAACTACAGAAATGTATTTTTTTTCTTGCCGCCTTTGATGTAGGTTTAGGAATAATAATAATTATAAGGTGGTTTTGAAATGGAAATGAACAACTTGCCGGCACAGCTTTTCCTTTATGTTAAAAATAAAAAATTCAAAGCAGCCACAACACATCAAATCAACAAATCTGCCGAAATGGGAAAGAAGTAAGTGATCCTGGTGATCTGATATTAACAGCTCTTAGTCTGTTTGATCAGATGTGGCGTTCGCTGTGAAAGGCACCCTGCTTGTTTAACAAATTGCCATTATAGAATCAGTTTTAGAAACCGTATCGCCCGTCCGCCTCTACCTCGGCCTCTCACCTGTCTGATCTCCTCAAAGACCAGAGACAGCAGCCAGACGTAGAGCAGCAGCTCTCCAGTAGAGGGAGTGGGCTGGAAGTCAATCATCAACACCACAGCAAACAGGAAGAGGAAGGCGAAGTAAGAGCCAATGTTCAAGTAAAACTTGACCTGCGGAGCGCCATAAAGGCCCCTAAGCCTCGACCAGCAGCCCAAAGGCTCCTCATGCGACTGCAGGCTGTGGACAGAAAGGCGAGTCAGGACGGTGACCGTAAAGGGGATTTCTTATTGTTGGACCATATCAGCTGTCTGCTTACTAGCTACGAGAATCAGTTCCATGTCTGCTTCCTGTTACTGTCTCCAGCGTCTTTATCTCCTCTTTCTTCTCAGCTTCTCTCTGAATGAGCTCATCACGTCTGGGGAGAGGCAAAGGGACACTACTGAGCACCTCTGAGGATGAAAGTATGAGAGATTCATCTACTTCTGTGACGCTGAATGTCAGTGCTACACTCCTTTCACAAAGAGCTGACCTGAAAACCAGAAAGCTGGTGTAGATGAGAGGGAAGAAGACTATGCAGATCAGCACTCTCCACACAGGGTTGTCCACCGAAAGTTTCCCACACCAGATCTGAGTCAGAAGAGCCTGAAGAGCAAGGGACAGTATGTTTTACTCTGAAACCCACTGTTGCAGGGCAGACTTTAGGACCCCTGACGTCTAAAGACCTACCTGAACGCCTGACAGAGCCACAAAGTTTTTATCATCGGCCTCCAGTGCCAGCCGCAGGCAGGTGGTTCCGCCCCAGGAGCGGGACACGCGGACAAGCAGCCTCTGAGCGCGCCCTTCATCGCTGTTGTGACACTGGCCGAACACACCTGTACACACGTGGACAAAGGCGCAGCAAGTCTTTCTGTCTGAGCTGATCTGCGGTTCAATTCAATTCAAATCAATTTTATTAATACAGGGCCACATCACAACAACAGTTATCTCACAGCGCTTTTCAAACAGAGCAGGTCAGACCCTACTCCGAAGTTATCTACAGAAACCCAACAATTCCCACCAAGAGCAAGCACTAGGCGACACAGGCGAGGAAAAACTTCCTTTTAACAGGCAGAAACCTTGAGCAGAACCATGGGTCAGGGTGGGCGGCCATCTGCCTCGGCCGGTTGGGGGTGAGAGAAAGAGAGGGCAAGAGGCAGACTACACAGTAACACATAGGCTGGATGAACAATGGCAATGATATGTATCGTAATGATAGCAGTAATAATAGCAACAAGACCACGAACAGTGGTGGTTCATGGCTGTCTCGTACCGATTGCCCGCGTTTCATAATCACTGGCCAGTGCTAGCATCTCCTGGGACTCGTCTGTTTCGCTTTCTTCCTTTGCCATCGTCTTCAGGATCTTACTGGCAGCCAGGGCAGCTGACATGCAGTCCCTGCACTGCGCTCGGACAGAAACAGGGAGGTCGTGTACATGTAGGCGTTACAAAAACGGCTGCTGGTAGTATTTTGTGTGTTTTAGTGTTTTCATCACCTGCTCCCAGGCTATTTCAGACAGCTCCTTGTTGTTCTGGACCACGGCCCAGAGGAAAAGGTCTGTGCCTGGATCCCTGTGTGCTTCAGCACTGTCTGGCCTCAGTGAAGCCTGGGAATCCGCCTGAAGTTTAGATACCTGCAGGAGAAGTCCGGGGAAAGGCCGCATTCATTGTAAAGCCAGAGTTTCTGAGATAAATTAAGCAGCAGGATGAAACCTTAATTGTTTCTGGGCTGGAGGTATTGGAATATGTATGATTTTACGAACACATTATTTTTTATCTGTCAGGTCTATTACCCCAGAGACTAGGACCACTTTAGAAATGGAATATAAAAATATATATATATGTAAAAAAAAAGAAAATCATCTTAAGGCTCATAAACATCTATTCGCTCACTTCTGTGTTGACAGTTGAATATTGTGAGAAATACCCTAACATTTAATATCATATTTTTCTCAGAAGCAGACACAAAATGAGAGATTTAAAAAAAAATACAGATTTTAAGAATCCATATGGATTTATTAAGGTAGTAAAAAATGCGTGTTTTGCTCACTGTTATTGCCGTGTCATCCGTAGATATGCTGTGGTCGTGCAGCACGGGGGCCGGAGGGTAGATGGGCACCGTGAATTTGCCCAACAGGCGGCGCACCTCTTCAGAGACATGAGTCAAAGACACCCTTTCCCTTCCTCCTGTGCGAGAACGGACTCTCCTGCCCAACATACGCCTCCTGCTGCGCCCAGCACCGTGGACCCTCTTGGCCAGCTTGCGCAGAAAGAAACAGCTGGGCAGCTGTTCGTAGAGCTCACACAGAGTTTTATCATCCTTCAGGAAATCCCTCAGATTCACGCCATTCTCCAGCAGCAGACTCACAAACTGAGGCTTGTTACAAACCAGAGCGGAGGAAAAGGCCCCGTGAAGGTCCCTGGACTAGATGATGAGGGTGAAGCTCGTTTGAGTGATGACGACGACACACTATGGATAAACACGGTGTTATGAACAGTAGGCAAACCAACCTTCCACTGGCTCTCCTCAGTGAAGATCTCAGTCTTGGCTATGTCCACTCTGTTCCAGGCTATAGCAAGCTCAAGCTGTCTTGTCCAGCACATTCCCTGAGTCTCATCCCTCCTGGAAGCTGAGTGGAGGATTACAGCACCAGTTTAATGTCTTTACATTTACACGAAACACTGACTGTTTCAGATCGTTTTAACCGGTCTGCACACAGGCACATCTAATTTGTGTTCCCTCCTTTACATTGTCCACAGATTAATCTGATGACCACTTTGACCTGCAGAATACTGTTTCGTTCAACCATTTTATTAATAAATTAATCAAATGTGCAATTAGCACACAAGGTAATCTGCCATTTGCCAAATCGGAACCAGATTATTTTTGTTGTGCTTTGCAAAGCAGACTTTTTATATCACATATCAATATGAACAAAACTTTGATTGCTCTTTGTAACTTTTACTCATGATAATAACAGTTAAAACCATAAGATTTAAACAATAATGGATTTTAATGAATAGTTGTGGTAGGCAAAAGCTTTTGTAAAAATGGAGGACATTAAATGAACCATTCATCATGGTCAAACATTCTAAGTGAGCGTCTCTTGTAATAAACAATTTCTTTTTGTGCACTTTCAATCAGCCATCATCTACACATACGCACTAAGCCTGGTCGGATGGGCTTCAATGAGGCAGAGTAAATCTTGAGGAAGACCTGATTATTTCTATAGAAATCAAGTGTGGCCATTAGTGTCTTCCTGTAAAAACCAGTGTCCATTAATGTCTTTTGAGAGAGGCAACCTGATACTCTAAAGCTTTCAGCCCTCATTTCTTTAGACTTGATGCTGTGTTGGGCTCCTATATAAATCAGGCCTCTATAGTTACCTTTAAGTAGTGCTTGGAGAATAGCTACGTCCACATCCGCATGACTGTCTTCGCTTACTGTGAAGATTGTCAGCAAATGAGACATCCTGATGATGTCCTGAATCTGAAAAAGAAAGGAAACAGGGGGTCTGTCGGACAAAGTGGGTTTGGTGTTTTACATCCATTTTAAACCACCACACTGATTCTGCTCAGAGTAGGCATGTCTTAATTGCCCGTGGGTCTGTCTGGATACGTTCCAGTAAGGGGATATGTCAAAGACATTTAGTCTTATTGAGTTAGAATTCCAGGAAAATGTTACAAGAACATTTATTGCCAAGAGCCAGTAGAAGAAAATCTTAGATGGATCAAGGAAACATTTGCCCTGCTTAATTACCAACAATTATGTACAACAAAACTCTTACTTTAAATGGTGGCCATGTTCACCTGTATAACAATGTTTTAATTTCAAAACCAGTTCAGTGATCACTCTCCCCATTCAGAGAATGGAGTCGTTCTATAACGTCATGTAAAGTATGCCAGTCTTCACATTATTCGTAATACTTTTCATAATCAAGATTTAATGAAGAAAAATACACCTGCATCACAAGAAATGTGGATAATGTGGAAATACACCTAACAGCCAAAATCTTCACCTTTTTGGTCCATTCTAAAATTTGTAGGTCCTTGAAGTTGTCATACTCTTCCCCAAAAAACTTTTTCATCAGCTGCTGTATGAGAGCGATGGTGACCGGGCGGATCGGCTTGCCCGACGCCTGGGCGATGACGTCTGCCATCCGTCCGGAGCCCTCCAAAATCACGCACGGCGTGCCGTTCAGCATGGCGTTGTAGATGGTCTGAGGGGAGAGGCACACACACGGGTGAGGACGGGGCGCAGGGTTGGAAAGAGAGGTGGGAAAACTGCTGACTCACATTCAGTGTGCCTGGTCCCCCATCCAAAACCACGCATACCGCAGGGATCTTCCCACCACTCCCTGGATGTCAAAGGATCAGGAAAATCAAGGTTAAAAGAGGGCCGGATCAAGTCTGCTTCCCCAAGATGTTATCTGCAAAAGCTTTCAGACATGACACTGAATCGACTTCTTTCAACCTTTGTTTCCGAGTGTCTTGCTGGAGATGCATTTTTCCAGAAGAGTGCGCAATTCAATCTCCACGCCGTAGCGTCCATTTGTCCCGTCGTCCACCAGCAGGAAGTGAGTATGATTGTTGTCCAGACAAGACAGTCGACCCTGACCTTCAGTGTCCATTGTGTAATGCGCGGGGAAGCAGCCCTGCAGACGAAAGAAAAAGTGAGCCGTCATAGGCCCTAGAGTGTGAGCTCTGAGGGTGTAAATGAACCTCTCGTGTCAGTCCGACCTCTTTGTGCACCAGCTTGTCCCTGTTGTGAATCACTCCCCATGTGGCCACTCCTATGGCGACGATCTTGCCCTGCCCGGTGCTGCTGAGGGCGTGATCCCGCACGGCCTGACCCACGTGCTTCATCACACCCGCGTGGGTTCCACCTGTGATGATCCACGCGCCTGAGAAGAAGGACAACAAAGCCCGGCACACAAACGGTCAGTTTTCCCCATCAGCTGCCCTCACACGAGAGTTCACGCAGCCTTACGTCCACCCATACATAAATCTGATTTAAATATGAACAGGAAAAGGGAGGAAATATGTCTTTGGGACAGCAGCTTGACATAAATCAGTAGTACAGCACATGTTAAGTTAACGACTGAACCCCTGGAGTCTTCTGATACCTGGAAAATGAGAATGGACCGACTGTTCCTTCGGATAACTGAATCTGAATATGAGTGCTCACACACTGGCTAATGGTCGTTAGATTTTAGCATGTAACACATATATTTCTCTTTCTTTTCCTTGCTGACCTGTCGTCTGGGCCACTTTTATGAGTCCCCTGTGGAACATGTTCTTAAGTCCAGCCTTCATGTAGAAGTTCTTGGCTCCTCCGGTCACCGAGATGAGCAGGTTGGGAGGCGAAAGCTTCCACTGTTCAGTCAGTAAGTGGTACAGCGTTTCATCCTTGGTGTCTGCAGACACTCGCGCATACTGGCAATAGACACGCACACATGCATGAACGGTAAGCACGGTGGACTGCAATGCTGCAATATGCAACCCAGAAACGGGAGAATGGGCTCACCTTGCCAATCTTTTGTCCCAGGCCACCAAAGTCGATGTCTCCAAAAGCGTCTGTTGACACCTCCTGGACATGTCTGTGTTTGTCCCACGCCTCTCCTGTGAAGCCCTCTGGCTTGATGGCTTCATCTGTATGAGCATCCTTTGAGTAGCCACATTTGCAGAATTCCGTTCTTTAAGAAAAGCACGACTGTTAGTAATTTCCACGCCATTAGCAGCGCAAAAATGTAGGACAGAAATGCCTCCACAATTCTTTTCATCTCACATTTCCAAATGACAATTCGTACAGCTGGCCCACAGTAGCTTTATAAATTATTTTTAGTTTTCTTTTTTCGCATTACCCTATTGTAACCTGTCTTTGTCCAAATTAAGAATTAGAAAACTTATATAGCATCACATCTGAACTCTTTTAAAACTTTAAAACCTTTCATGTATGAGCTTATGCTGTTACATATTCTGTTTGCTGCAAAGGCTGCACAGACCTCTGCTTTGATCCCTGCAATATTTCAAATAGCTTCACTCCTGAAAATGATCAGGTAAAAGACAGCACAGCGACTTTGTGACACCATCACAATTCCATTTCACTGAGCAGCAAATCGCAAGGTCAGCAGAGACTGCCTACCTGGGATCCTTCTGGAAAAAGCAGCATTCCTTCTTGCGGATGTTCTCCTTGATCCAGGAGGTGAAGACATCGCGCTGGAAGGAAGGAGAGCGGTACAGGTGTTTAGAGGCCGTGCAGATAGCCAGAGTTCCCACCGGCGTGGAGCCCGACGCAGCCTCCCCCATCCCTGTGCAGACTGGGTGTGAGGCGGGCTGCGGGCAGCCTGGCGGAGGAGAGCAGCCCCCTGTGCTCTGAGCACTGCATCAGTGATGTCAGAGCTGAGCAGGATGCCCGAACCTGACACAGCCTCTTACTTACAGCACGGAAAACAGGAGGCAGAAGCAAAGCTTCACAGCTGCGACGTGCCTCACACAGTAGTTCTGCACCAAATCAAGATCAAAGATCCATATTTAGAAGATAACTGCAAATGATGTTATGTTTTTATACTGATCAGCAAATTCTAGAATGTAGCTATTATTCAGGTTGTTTGACATGACAGAGGAATGCCTCAGTGGAGGGTAACCAAATGCGATGACCTGGCATTTTTTGTTAGATGGTACTTTTATTCACTGTCATTACATCAAACACGACTGACTGTTTAACTCACCAATATAGTTCATTTTCTTATAATAACATATGAAACTTTGGTGTTATCCTATATAATGTGACACATTCTGTTAGATACAGTGCATAGGACTGGTTCCATTGTATCAACAATGACATATTCATTAATGAAGAATCATTCGACAATATAGAAAGACTTTACAATTCACAGAGACTTGAAAATACTTTTCTGCATACTGCGGTCCAGCTGGACGTATTCTTAATTACTTTAACATTTGTTTAAACTGCTGAAGTTCTACTGAAATAATCCTTTTTTTTAAATAAAGTAGGTGTTTGTCAAAAAATTGCATGTTTTTGCTTGTTGTGATCATTGATTTTCCCACCCCAGTAGATTCATTTCTTTCTGTCAGCCAAAAAAACAGATTAAGAGTAACAGAAGAACTAAAGTGCCTTCAGCTCTCACTGAAAACACGCACCTGCTCGGAATGTGAAACCCCTCAGTTTGATAGATGTTTCTCCTGCTGCAGCTGCTCGGAACCATGGCCATGGGTTCACTTTAATCTTAGGTTTAGGCATCGTATCCGAGGGAGAAGTATCCTTTGCTTATGTCCCGAGAAGTAAGGCAGTGTGAGCTTCTTGTCTGCTGGAATATTTTGTAGTCTGACACACTTCTTCATCTTGCTGACATGTGAATTTTCCTGCCTTATCCCTGGCCCTTTGTAATAGCAGGACTTCATGTCAGTTATTTAAGAGGCGTAAATACTGACACTGACCTATTGATGATCTATACTTTTTTATACTTTTACAAGTTCTTCCTGCTGAAGGGAATGGTTTACAGCAGGTGTTGCCAGGTGTGGGTCATGTTACTGCATTGAGTCTACCGGTTCAAACCAGTGTTTTGAGGATTGATAGTGCTCTTCATAGTTAACATGCATCTTCAGCTTCACCTTCAGTTATGGAGTACTTGTCCTACAGACACGTACATAGTAACTCAGAAAAAGAGACACGCACTATAATCATATCCATTCAGACATGGAGATTGGAATAAATGCCAAGCCAATTGAAAGTTGTTACCACAGAATGGGGGCCAGATTGTTGAAGGCTCTTCTTCCCATTTTATTCACGTGACCTTTAGCAACCACATGAAAAACAGCATTTTGAGATCAAGATGTGGAGATTCAACTATAAGAGAGATGGAATAACTTTTGAGTGTTTCTGTCAGTAATCTCACAAGTGTAATTTCGATCAAATCAGAGGAGCCTGATTATAGCATTTAACAAAGGCCAAACCCACAGATGATGGGAGCCTGCACTGACTTTTCAGCATCCCTCTGATTCAGCCTGTTTCTCAGCTTTAGCTGTTTCGCTTGCTACTAAAACTCCTTTTGTTAACTGTATTCTGGTGCTAACCATTATTCCAGTTACACAAGTGGAGCACAGGAAGCATTCACAACATGGACTCTCTGTTTCAACTTTTAAGCAAACGTGAAGTAGTCAAATAAACCATTTCTTCCAATAGAAAATGTTGATTAAAAAAAGAATACTCAGACAGGAGTGGTTACTTTTTCTGGAAGACCTGCATTACATTTGTGCAGATGAGCAGAATATTTGACATTGAGTCATTTGGTCCAGACTGAAATATCTTTACATTTATTGGATGAACAGGGATGCACTGTGTCTCTGCACATACAACAGTGCCACCATCTGGTTTGAATTGGTATCTTTGAAGCCAAACAGACTCACAGACACACACAAAAATGACCTCCACCTTGAGGTTAATTTGTTTTGGTTTCTGGATCAGTCCATTTAAAATATACTTTGAACACTAGTTTACACCTAATAATTACCGTGTTGTAGATTAAACGTGCCACTCCAGCTACCTGAAAAGCTCAGCTGATGCTTCCTGCTCATAGTTGGTTGACTTTGCAATAATGTCAGCCAGCGGTTTCTCGAGCGGAAACGAGTGCAACAAGCTCAAATTAATTTAATGAGGATAGAAATGCTCATGATAACAAGCTCTGGACTTATTAATGTCCTCTGGACCTTTAATAGTTATATCACTTATTAAACTGCTCAGTTTGTATGATATGCAGTTCACATTTGAAAACATTCAACTTGAATCTATTTAAAACACAAGTTCCAAGGAAAGATTGAATGAAATATATTAATGTATGATTACATTATCATAGAAACAAAGATTTTACTCACCATAGAACAAATTGAATGCCGAGAGTACTTATTACTATGCAAGTAGTATTTCTATTTATTTTTTTATGTGATGGCAGTGAAAAAGTTTTTAAGTGTCACATCACTGACTAAAATACCCTGAAAATGTTCATGTTGCTAAAGCACAAAAGCAGACACACACCGATCCTTTACGGCACAATATTTATTCAACAATATACAGATTAGTTCTCTCTACATCTTAGACTTATCTTCAGTTTTTTATATTTATCTTGCTTTCGTCTTTGTACATTTTGTTATTTACAAGATTTAAAATAAGTCTTTCGCTCCATTTATACAACATCATTAGTACAGTGATTTTTTTTTATCCAGCTGCTTCCTTCGAAGCGTCTTGATTAGAGTAATCGTTTCTAATCTGTTTATATTTCATACACCAACCGAGCCACAGAGCAGCATACTGACAGGAGGGCTCAACATGCACCAGGTCTGGGTGTGGCCTGCTCTCTGCAGGGGCAGGAGAAATGGATGGCCCTCTCACTACACCTCACATGACAAAGGTCCTGTTGCTCTGCAGCGTGGCAGCAGGGTGCAGAAACAGAATCACTGATGGGGGAGACTGCTAAAGGCTTGCACCTTAAAAAAAAAAAAATGGCTGAAATGCACAGGCCCCCACCCACCTGACGACAATCGATGAAAGCCAGGACACAAACGAATGAACTGAAGTTAGATAAAGGAGGGGGAAATGTTGCATAGAATCAATTCCGATGTCAAGAAAAACAACAATTTTGGTGCTGCCGTTTTTTCAAAATGTGGCTTTTTGAGAAACTCCTGAGACCTTCCGAACCCCTTCACTTTCCTTTTTTTTTTGGTTTGAAAAAAAAAACACAAACAAAAAAAAGAAAACGAATAAATAGCTGTACCCTTAGACTTTAACAAAAATAGCCTTGTGTTGGATGTGACATCCCATAGAAGTTCTACTTTAAAGAGACTAAAACCCTGCACTGAGTGTATACACATCTGCACACATATCTATATATATGTCATTTCAATAGCTATCTTAGAGAGGTGGATGGATTAAAGTGCATTATACTGCATGAAAACAAAGCCCACAGTTATCACATGCAGGACAGGAAATGAGTCACCAGCCACCTTGACTGATCAAACACAAATCTGTAGAGACATTTTCACCTAACAGGGGGTTCTACTTGAAATGCTGGAGGCCTTGAAAACGTATTTTCCCGACACAGACTCGGGCTGTCCCGCTTTCCTGACAGTCACGGGCCGGTGTTCATTTCCTGTCCTGATCACATGCAAATAACACCACACACACGGAGGGATATCTTAACTCTAAGTCAACACACAGTACCGAGGTGGCTGCTGGGGACTTTGGGGTTGGGGGGGGGGGGGTGGTTGAAAGGGGCCCACTCGATGACACAAACGTGTCGCCGGGGTTTTAAACGGCAAAACGGTCCACCTTAAAACTGGGGTGGGGTAGCATGTGTGGCCAAAGAGCCGGTGACACTTTTTGGCTAGAAAATATTTAAGGCTAAAGTACGCGCACACGGGGCTCGCTGGGGACGGGGAAAAGCAGCTGTGAGGGGCTCCAGTCACAGCAGGAGTGTGTGGGGGGGTTCACTGCACGCTGAACTGACGTTTACACCGTTTGCTTTTTTTTTTTTTTTAAATATACAGTTATCATTCATCCACGTGAGCAATACACCGGCCGACAACTACAGTAACCAGACACATTATATACTGCTTTTACGTGAGACCAGCAAGGCTACATAACAACTGTGAAAACAAAGTGTGACGCACACACCTACAAGAAAATCATGGCCGATAAAAAAAAGAAAATGTAGTAAATTATAAAAAAAAAAGGGGGAAGCTGCATCTAAGGGCACGTTGAGCCAGGTGTCATATTATCCTCTTTTTTTTTTTTTTTTTTTGTCCTGTAGCTTAGAAGTAAGACGAGTAAACTGAAGAAATTAGGCATTTTAAAGAAGACATCCAGTCAAAACAGAGAGAAAAATCCCTAAGGAGAGGATGTGTAATGGCACATCTGGCAGAGACGAGGATGAGACTCGGGTTTGGCTCGCTGGCTGTTTGGGGAAACAGCCGTGCGTTGCAGGGCACTAAACATGCAGACAGACAAGCATGCCTATCAAGCAGCCAGGGCAAGGAGCACTACACGAGGCTAGATAGCACTGTGCGCAAATGCAGGCATCTCACTCCATGCACATGAGGATAAAAGAAAAACACTAAAGAAAAACAAATTGCACTTAAAATCATCATTTAAAAAAAAAAGAAAAGACAAACAGGACATTTCAGATGATTAAAATAGATTCATCCCTATGTGGGTGCCTGACAATAAACAGGAAATGTAAAAAAAGAAGAGAAAACAAAAACAAAGGGGGAAAACAAAAACAAAAAAACAGTCCGTTTATGAGCTGTATTGCGGTTACATTGTGTGATTAAACTGAGATCAAGGCTGAGGCATATAGTTTGAAATTCTCTCATGAACACACAGATTTTAGTGTCATAGTTGCAGTGGGGAACCGTTTTGGTCACGTCGGCGCTCTGGTTTTTAGAGTCTCCATTTGATTGGGAGACCTGTATCTGAGTGGCAGATGAACACATAATGAGGTAGAACAAAATGTTTCAAGAGCATTCAGTCAGAACCAAAAGTGACGATTGTCGTGGAGCCTGATGATGCGCAGTAGGTCCTAAAAGCCTCCAGGGGGCAGCAAATAGCCGACTTTGATGCGAGAGGACACAACACTGACCAACAAACACACCAACAGTGCTTTCAGATCCACGTGACAGCATGAAACTAAACACAAAATACAGTAATTGCCTTTCGGGGCACTGTTCAGTGCAGTCCCTTAACATTATTCAGCGTTAGATTTTAAATTAAATCACAGGACCAAAGTCTGTCCTCCTGTAGCTGCACAGTAATGATTCCTTTAGATTGCTCCAGTTGAAAGCTTGACGCAAGACAAACTTACCACATTCCAGTTTGGTTAAACAATACCCAAAAAGTTAATTTACCATTGAGATGACAGTATTCTCAGATCCGCAAAAGTCAAATACAACTGAAATAATTGCTTGGGTTTGATCGATTTCTGCATATTCTATTACTGAAAAAAGAAACTAAAGGGGAAAAAAACACTTTAAAAGATTCTTTGGATTGAAATTTAAAATGCTGACAAAAAATCCTGTCCATTGAACCCATTTAGGGCTGATTTAAAATGAAAACTCACGATACAAACAAAAAGAAGGAAATCAGCAAGAACGATTGCACGTGAGCCCGGGAATGAGAGAGAAGAAATCCCCACTTTTCTCCACATGAGCGACGTTAAGTGTTATTGCTGACTCGTTGTGACTCATTCAGTCTGGAACTTGGAAAAAAAAACTCTGAAATGTCAAATGTGACCTACAGCTAGCGTGGGATTCTGCAAAAAAAAAAACAAAACAACCAAAACAACAGTAAGAAAGAAGAAGAAGAAAAAATCTGGTCTTATCCTCCCTTTAAGGACAGTTTGTGTGGAATGCTCAGCTTGGTCAGATGGGAGGATGCAGTGAGGTGCTGGACTCTTTCACACAGTGGTGGGAAGTCGTTTACTACTTTAAACGTGTCGTGGCCTCAGAAACCCACCAGCAACGCCTGCAGGTCACAGTCTAATGGATGTTCAAAGAGTGGAGACAGAGCTCCAGAGAGCTGGAGCTCTGTTCCTACCACACACACACACACACACACACACACACACACACACACACACACACACACACACTCACACACAGACACACAAACACACAAACACACACACACACCCTTACGCACACACATAGGTAGACAGAAACTGTTACAGTGGTGATGTCATAGAAGGGAGTCATGAGCGTGTTGTGGATGGCTTAGTGTGTGTGTGTGTGTGTGTGTGTGTGTGTGTGCACCGTTCCCTGCGCTGGACATTAAACCTGTGATATGATCTGCATGTTGAAGCTGGGGGAGCGGGACTGCTGAGTCAGAGGTGCGCCCGGGGACAGGAGGTCCCGGGCCTGCTCTGGTCTGATCAGGTGCTCCTCCTGCAGGCTGATGGTGGAGTGGCGGTGGGCGCCCCCCGCTACGAGCCCCCCTTCCGTGTCGGAGCCCCCCGCCGCCTTGGCCTGCTCGTCCTCGCCGCCGTTCAGGTTGAGGCTCATGCAGTCAAAGGACTTGCTGGAGGAGGTGCTCCCAGTCCGCACCAGCGAGGGCCCCGCCGGGAAGCTCAGGTGCTTCTTGATGGGACTCAGGTGGATGGCCTCCAAGTTAATGCTGCCCGGGGGCGACTGCTGCCTTTGGTGATGCTTCCTCCCCGCAGCCTCCTGATCCGCCGACAGCTCCGCCTGTTTCTCCGCCTCCCTCTCCCTCTCTCTCTCCCGCTCCCTCTCCTTCTCCCGGTCCCGCTCCCTCTCCCGGTCCCGCTCCTTCTCCTTGTCCCGGGACAGGCGGGCGGTGATGGCTTTCTTGATGCTGCTGCTGCTGCTGCTCAGGCTGCCGCCCCTCGGCCCCACGCCGCCCCCGGCCTTGGTGCCGCTGGGCTGGCTGCTGTTGGAGGCCCCGGAGGAGAAACCCTCATCGGGGTCGTTGATGTTGAAGGAATCCTCGCCGCCGCTCATGCCATCAGCATCTGAACGTGTGTATGAACAGACGTACACAGAAAAAAAAAAAGAACGAGAGACATGAGAGAGGCAGAGGAGCCGCTGGATCACACGGTCATCATAGTCCTCCTTAAAAAAGCTCCTACTGCAGCCAGAACAAGTAAACTACGACTTTTAAGAAATATTTAGATTGATATTTTGGAAAAAGTTATGTGTTCGTGTATATAAGTTATTTAGAGTACCAAATTAAGTGAGAATAAAACCAGAAAAAGCCAAAAAGCGACATAACAAAACATAATATATAAATCAATAAGAACTTAATCATTTTTCAATTGATACAAACAATTTGAGTTTCAAATACAGAATGCACTGTTTTAATTGAATGTTTTAAACACTGCCACAGTTACAAACATAAAGCCCGTGCTGTCTGGTTAGCTCGGACACTCTGCACCACGTACAGTTCAACAGAATGTGGAGCGACTTCAGCTCTGCTCACACGACACACAGATAACATCAGAGCAGATGTTTGTTGACAGAAGTACACAACACTGTTATAACAGCATTAAATCCATTATTGGCCTCGTTTTGAAAGCTGTAAATGGGGGAAAAAGATGATAAATTGTGTTAGGAAAAAAGAAGCAGGTTATTGACATAAATTGCAGCCTGTTAAACGAGGAGACGGATGATCAGCTGTCTCTCTCCGTCATGCACAGCTGGACAAGGGACAACCAGAAAGGAAATTGGGCAGGGGGGGGGGACTGAGAAGAGAAGGTCTGGACTGACATGCACATAACAAAAGGAGAGGGAGCATGCTCTCGGCTCATCCCGCGCTTCTCCTCCTTCTCCTCTCACCTACCGATCTGTGGGGAGTGCTGAGGCAAGTCAGAGCACCTCATCGGATCAATAGCCGTCCAATAAGAGCTGACAGCCCACATGGCTAAGTGGGCCGGTCTGCGAGCCGTCACACACCAAAAACCCAAACGAATGGTTCTGGGGTCTAAATGGTGCCGACTGAAGTGTTTGACGAGTCGCTTTGAGTCATTTTTGATGACACGCTCACACTTCACCTCACTACAGCGGGCTGTCATTTTGATCGCGCTAAGTGCTAATTAAACCCTGGAGCAACGACAAATTCTTCCTCAATGCTGTGTTCAAGGACAACCTGACGAGCAATATTTTGGAGATGACAGGAATTTAAAATTTAGGGAGAGCTTCGAGAACAAAGCCCTACTTAGTGTAATAAACAACTGCAACGATAGCTTAGTGATAGAATATATCTGTACATATTCCCTGAGGACACTTTAAAATGTCAAATGTAATCATGAACATCATGAATTATGATTTACTTCATTCCAAAGGAGATGATAAATACCTGAAAAACACTGAAGTATTGGGAACCATAGATTTGACATTCCCTGTCAGGGTACATCTGTCAAACTTCAAGAGCACCCTTTGTAGGATGCCACCCTAAACCCTGGTTCAATGTTTTTTACCAATTTGATTCAATTGCAAAACAATTTAACAGCTACTTTAATTCTTAAACTATTTTTTTAGTTTCCTCATAAACATTTTTGCAGTGAATAAGGATGGAAATGAGCTGCAGCTGATAATGAGGGAAAACATGAAACAAAATAAAATAAAATAAACAGTGGTGGAAAATGCTGGTGGAGTAAAACAAATACAAACTCCAGTTAATGGATTTAAACATGCAGAACCACAAATTATTTCTGACATGAAAAGAAATGCAGCCTCAAACTGAAGCGTGTGTACTTTAAGCTGTCATTTTTTCCCTTAAAAATAGACTCGAACATCCAGTGATTATACACAGCGAGTGGCTGATCAATCCTCTTTTCCCATAATCAAAGATCTTTCTTTACAGAATGGTAGATTTCAATCTCATGAAACAAAATGACAGGATTTTTCCCCCCACAGACTTGCACTGAGTTCAGTGAAAGATCACTGGAAGGGGACTCAGACATTGAACCGGAGCCATAAAATGAGCTCATCCTCAATCTGACTGATTGTTCAAGATTTCAAAACAACCAGACATGGGAGTGGACGCATTCAAAGTGACAAAATGAGCAACGCAACCATGGTGAGCAGAATAACCTTCCAAAATATCAGACAAAAGTCTGTCAGGGGAAACACTGATGTTCCAGGATTGAATGTTCTAGCAGATATTCTCGAGGCGTCTGCATGCAGGGCTCATTCCCACTCACTGAGCTGGAGGAAACACGGTGAGATTAGCAAAGGCCGGCGCATTTGGACTAAAAAAACAAAATGGAGGGGCTTTCCTTTTAGACCGGCTGCAGCAGATAGTTGCTGCCGGTCTGAGACAGCAAGGGGTCATACAGACACAAGATATCAAAGAGTCTGCAGAAAAACAAAACAAAAGTCCTCTATATTTCCTGGCCCCCCCGCCTCAGAACGATCAGACATGGAAAGCTGGAAAGCCCAGAGTTGAGGGTCAAGCCGCAGGCTGGGTGCTAAACATGCTCAGTGAGTGACAAGGGGAGCAATCTGAAGTTGAAGGAATGAGGAGGAATTGAGAGAATATGATTTGATGACAGGCCCATGCAAAATGGCCGCGAGCCCCACTTCCTTCAACCCCAGAATAGGCGACTCTTCCACCTTTAAATGCAGGAACCAGTAGCAATGATCTGGTAGCAGAGGGGTTGTTGGCTGAGGGTCTTATAGACTGGATGAGTTAGTATACTCTGGGGAAGTGAAGAGGCAGCACCGATGGGAACGGCAGAGTTAACTGCCTCAAGCTGAAGAGGGGTAGTAGGAGGAGGGTAGGGAAGATGTAGATCGAAACGGCACCTCCTCCTCCAGAGACCCACTCTGCTCTGAGCCTCCTCCCCTGTCCCCTACCCTCAAGTGTGATGGGGGGAATGATGCTGCTGCTGCTGCTGTGGTGGCTGTGAGGCCTCCTCCCTCTTTCCTCTTTAGCTGTGGGTTCCCAGGGGGGGCGGTGGTGTTGGTGGTGCTGGGCGAGGCTAGGAGGACTGACGGTGAAGCTCAACTCTGCATCGGTTGAGTAGTCAAAACAATCTGGGAGTCAACAACACAGACGAGGACATGTGTTTCTTTAGTAGCAGCAAGCTTCAATCAGTGCGGGCCTCATCTTGAGCACAGTTTCAACTCAAATTTGGACGAGGGAATAGAGGAAATTAAGAAGGCAGTGGTATTCTAAAAAAAAAAACAAACAACAAAAAGAAAACGAGACCTTCCCCACCGAGCCCATCTATGGGGTAAACAGAACCAGCTGAGTTCCGTTTTATTTTGAGCGTCTGTAAACTCACAAGGCGTAATCTTCCGTGGCAAACCAAAGCAGGCAAACGAGATGAGCAATGCACGAGCAACAGGGCTCAGTGAGGGGCACGAGCACCTCCTGACCGCAGCTACAAACAACACCTGACATGGAACACCATCTTAGGGGACGTTAACAGTGTGACCGTTTTACAGGAGAAAAGGTTTATGCTGTTCTCAGCGCTGAGAACAAACACCAGAAAAATCCTTTCTAACGGGATATTTCTCTCCTCCAGCCATCCGCGGATCAAAAAAGGAACAAACCGTTAAGTTAGAGCTTAACCATGACTCAGAGGCTTCCAGTTACTTGCCCAAACTACCCTGGAGTTCCACATTAATAATGAAAATAAGACAGATTGTAATATAGTCTGCTGCCCTTAGGAGCTCTCCATGTGCTTCAGCCAAGACGGCTGATTTGATCTGCTGGGCCCGGGGCTTCAGTCTTACCCTCTCTCTTCCAGCGGTGGCGTCGTATGGAGGCGGTGGTGATAGCTGAGATGGATATACGGTTGATGGTGGGCGTCACCTCCACCTGGAGCACCTTGCGCCCCTGTGGTGCGTCGGGAGCACTTTCTGGCAGCGAGTTTTTCATGGCGTTCCCAAGCTGAGGTGAGAGCATGTGAAAATAAGTAGCTAATTCAAAAAGCTATCAGGAGCTCAAGCCCCGATTAAAACTCATTTGCAGGGTTTACCAGGAGAGGCTGGGAGTAAAGCTCCAACTGGGCTCTGTACACAATGTCCTCCAGGGCCTCTCGTCCCATCTCCCATTCTCCATTGTATCTACACATCGGCAAAACAAACACACCGGCATTTACAGACGTCATGCTGCAAACTTATTCAAATAAACAGGAGACTCTCACAAGCTTGATGTTGGAATCACATCCCCCTTAAGTATTTTTACTTTTCTAGAGGCTAAAGATAGGGAGGGGTGGGTATGAGCAGCGAGTCTCAGTCAATGACCAAAGGGTCCATTAAGGAAACATTACGCTTTTTAAAATTTAAAACAATTAACAAAATATACACAAGATTTGCAAATCCAAATCCAGAATATGATTTCATAAAAAACTGATGTGGGCAGCTGAACTCTTTGATCCGGTCCCGCAGGCACAACAACCACTGTCTGGGATAAATGCTGCAGGGTTCCCTTTGGATTTCAGATCAAAGGCTGGGATGAATGGGCAGGTAAAAAAAAGAACAGACTCTCTGATGTTTCAGAGCCTGAAAAGCACCAGAATATAGCTGAAACCTTTACAAGCAAAAGAGACATGCCCACTTGTCTCATAATTCTGGTGTCCGTACACACCTTTCTCTGTCCTCGTGTGGCCCTTCAGATCCACAGCAGTAGTGGACATATTACCCTAAGGCCCAGAGTGTCTTCGGCCAGCGCCAGTGTCCCTTTGCATGTTTGGAGTGGTGCATTCAAGCTGGTAGATGGGACGGAGGTGACCCATCGTGTGGAGAGGGGTTTCTAAAAATACCAGCATTGCCTCTCTGACTCACACATATACAAACATGAGGTCTATCTTGTTTTTTTACCCCCTCCCAGCAGTACTGATCGCTCCAGTTTCCTGATTGCTGACGTGCAATCCGACAGGAGCGATGAGGCAGAATGTTTATTCATTCCCTGCCGCCCTTCCTGCCGGTCCATCCTTAACAGTCGCGATTCTGGTCGCTGTCGTATCAGGGGATCTGTCTCTGAGGACTACCTGTCATAGAGGAGCTATAATCAGCTTTGTAATGAGGAATTTTAGGGGGGATGATATCACCTCTTCCCACGGTGAACTGCACACATAATCTGTGTCTCTACAGTGGGAGGTGTCCAGCTTTAGTTGCTTTAGTGGCTTTTTGTTTGGGGAGATTTTAATAATCTATTTAACAGGATGAAACTCGCAAAGTCTGATGGAGTTATGTGCCTGATTTACGCAGTTTGATGACATCACTTTGTTGCGACCTATCCTCGCCATACTTTATCTTACATGGGCTTTTTGTGTTCAGAAAGCCTAAAAGAAAGCCAAACATTTTCTATCTCGTAAAACGTAACTCTTAATCAGAAAGTCTGTTTCCATCCTGCCGTTTCAAGTTTTTCTTATTTATATGGAAAACAAGAACAATATGTCTATTCATAAAGTTCCTTTATTGATAAAACATCAGTGTTACTAAGAGGAAATGGAAATCTAAGCAAACGGCTGATGATATAAGGAAGTTCCATGACACGTCAAACAGGATATAGTGTCTATATATGTTAAAGGATCAACATTTCCTCTGATCTCAGAGATTTTTAGTTGTTCCATTTATTTTATTTTTTCCTTTCCTTTAATTTTCTTGCAATTGCAGTGGAAAAATATTCAAACCCCTTAATGCTTATTTCTATTCATTTATGATACATCAGGAGATATACAGTAATTCCGCATTTCACTGCATTTGCTTCAAAAATGAACTTGTACTATTGGAACTATATGAACCACAGAAAACAACATCTTCACACAGTCTGAGCATAAAAGATACGTACATGGCGTGATAAACAGCTGTCAGCATCTGCACCATGAACTCCGGGTCCAGGAGCACCCGGTTGCAAGGTTCCCTCCAAAGCTTCTGCTGTTGCCGGGGGAAACCACACACGCACAACCTGTTTGACAGACGAATTGCAGAGATGTTTTTAGTAAATCACGCTCCATCTGACCTCAGATCAGTGGAGCGTGGACAAAAAGGACAACTTCCTGAGCAACAAAGAAAAAAAATGGATCCGCAAGGAGATACATTTGCATTTGTTTGCTTCCTCCACTGTGAGTCTGAACTTAAAGAGTGGGAGCTCTGGTCACAAAGGACAGACTGAGTTTGCCTCTGGTGTCGACTGGCAGAGATTCATATCCTGGATCGTCTGCACGCCGCAGTGGAACAATCATCAGGCGGTGGCTCTGCTACAGAGCCTCATATTGTGAATTCCACATTGATCCTTTCTTCAGGGCGTCTGAGTGTTCCAGACAAAGACAGGCATCTTGCAGTTTGGTTTTCATTTGGTTTACCCCATGAGCTGATAAGCTCATCTTTAATGAGATTGCACTTATCAAATCCTGCAAATAGGACCGTTGGGTGCTGAGCTAAGTGTTCAGCTGATGTGGAAGAAGATCTGATTGAATCACAGCTTCGGGGGAGCAAGTCATTTAAAATGTAAAAGAAGATAGGGAAGGCAAGTAATTGGGTACAAAAAGAACAAAATACACATGCTTTCGTATGTTTCTCGCTCACCTTGAGCTCATCCTGCAGACTGACTGATAGGAAGACAAGGGCATGTAGACTACAGCCGAGTTGTAGCAGAGCATCAGGAAACACAACACCTCAAACCTGCAACCACAGACGACAGTCAGACACAGACACAGCTGAGGAGAGACATGTTCAAAATAATTCATTTTCTAATTAACATCCTATCATGAACTTTAGTTTGAAACATTTTTAAACAACATGTCAAAAACTATGCCCCAGGATGGTTCCGACACTGAACCAGAACCACCCCCAGCCCCTCTGCATATGGTTTCAATGGGACATTGAAAACATTCATGATATTAGTGACCTTTGGGATGACATGTAAGTAAAACAAAAAAACTTTGAATGAGTAGTTTTTTCAGAGAAATGTTTCTGACAAACGTTTGTGTATATGTCCTTCCTTTATGTATATAAAGGAAGGTGTAGAGGCCATAACCAGCTGTGTGTGTGTGTGTGTGTGTGGGGGGGGGGGGGGGGGGTGGAGATAACATGGCAGTGTAACATAAGCTGGAGCTAGCCACAACCTCTGAGTAGCTTTGGATCATAAGCACCATCTCTGGACCTGTAATACGAAGAGATTTACGCTTAAAGTCTGAGGTCTGGCCTTGCTGAAAGTCCAGTGAGTATATCAGCGGTGTTCTGGACCAGAGCCCCCTGTGCTGCCCTCATATGACAGCTCGGATGTCACTCTCAGCATATATGTCAGTAGATATGAGCCCAGGTGCACCTCCGCTCATTTCAGTGCGGCAGAAAAGGATTTTCTGGCATGATTTCAGGCATTCTTCATTACTATGCTGAGATTATTTTTCATCCTCAACAGCAGAATGAGTGTGAGAGCCAAAAAAGCACTCAGGCTTGGCGGGGCTAGCTGTCAGAGGCTGATTGAGCATCAAGGGCTACAGCCTGATTCCCTGAAAAGAGCCTTTCTAAAGCCACGTGTATAAAAATATAAGTGAGAATGATGACATCCACAAAACTGGAGCAGGGTTGGAAGATAAATGACCCCCCACTGCCCGTGAAAACACAAAAACAAAGCATCAAAGTCCAAACATGGTGCTGCTGAACAATGTCTCCCACATCTGTTTTGGTTAGCGTTGTACCTGTTCTGTGCCGTGAAAGTCTCTCTCTGAGGGTGGAGGCCGCTGTACACCACTCTGATCAGGTCATGCTGACAAAGAGCCCCCTCTGTCAGAGCCATGGAACCCAGGCTAGAAGGCTACACACACAAAAGATAAGAAAAATTTACTGAATGGAAAGTGACAGGGGTTTTCTAACAGTGTGTACTTTTGGTGTTTGTTTTTTTCCCAACATGTAACGTAACAAGGGAACGATGTACTGATTCATTGGAGAGGCAGAACCATGATGATTAATCTTCAGGTTTTTTCTTTTAAACATATCTGCTAAATCATTGCTGAACCTCCTGAAGGTCTTCACACCTTTGGCTGGCTAAGTGAGTTACTCTCATCTCTTTTTTGGCAGAGAGTTTAGCAGCAGATTTTCATCAATAATTCATGTCTGAACTCTTCTAACTAAAATCCATCGAGTTCAATCATCTCTATTCACTTCCGTCTATTTCAATTCTCTTAATTGATGCTTTTGTTTTTGAATAAACTCTTTCCTTACTACAAAGTAGTCAACGAGTCTCTACTGATGCAAAATGATTTACTTTGGGGGGGTTAAGTAACCTCAAGCCACCACTGTTAACCAATACCCTATCCAATGTTCCTGGTTATGAAACCTCTATTTGCATATCCTCTGACCATCATAATCTCTCTTCAGTCAGACCACTTTGCAGCCTAACAGTTCCAATCTTCAGCACCTGTCTTCTCTGTGGTATTGTATCAGACCTCAGACACAATACAGCTCCGTGTGGGAACATGACAATGAGAATATGTCATCGGACAGAAGTCGCTCCCGGTAACTAGTGTGAATTGCGTAAGATGAGTACACAGAAGCAGATGGATAGAACAAAAAGGGAGAAAAGGGGGACACTGCGGTGTATGTGTTAATGCTGGAGGCGACTGAAGAGGACCACGTGAAGCACTGAGCAGTATCACAGCCGAGAAGGCTTGTTGTGATCTATCCAAACACATACGCTTAAGATAACTCTCATCCTGCCCCCCAGTCTTCTTCCTTCTCTCAGCATGAAGTGAAGAGCTTCCCAAGCTTATAATTACCGAGATGAATCGCCTCCGGCGCATGCCACACTCCACTAATCTCATCAACACTCGCACTGACACACACGCACAGATGGGCAGCAAGTGAGGGCCGTCAGGATGCATGAACATACACACACACACCGTGTGGGGAAAAGGCCAGGAAACACAGCCATTAGCCCAAAATGGACCGAGGTCAGCCTGTTCTGTTCGACACTGTTAATGAATTCAAGGTCAGCTCAACGGTAAACAAATAGCGGGTTGGTTGAGTGAGGGTGCACAAACCCAGCGTGAGGGAAACTCTGACACAAAGAGAGCGAAAGAGCCAAATGTACAAAAAAGGGGGACTCAATGAGCCTAAGTGCTCCCATTTTAGTTTCAAAGAACACTCTCATGCATTATTAAAAGTTCTTTTTGATTACACCTTTGAACAACATGGAGACATTACTCCGGAAGACAGGAGCTAACACACGGCTGAGCCCTCGTGCGGAGGTTAATGAAAATAAACCTCCTGTAGCGCAGGGACACCGCAGAGGTGCCATCTTTTAAACTGCTTCCACAAGCCTCTAGGAAACAGTGCGGATGGAAGGAGATTGGAAAAGGAAGCTGAAAGGTTTCCACCAAGGAGAGGCATTTCAAAACACGGCAGAGAGGGAGAGCTGGCAGTCTTACCTCATGATACACCGATGGTTTTGACAGAGATGGGATTGTGAAGGACAGGAGCTTGCTGTTGCCATCTTTGTCCACAATTTCCTACATAAAGACATAAGGAATGACAAAACAAACAGCAAACTCGTGTTAACAGCACAGACTTCTCTTTTCTACTGGGAACTGAGATTAGTTCTTCCCCCACACACCTACATATTTATTACTAATTACTAGTAACTTAATTACTAACAAACATTTATATTATATTGTTTTTGAATAATAATATCTATGCTTTATCTAACAAACTGCAAAATTCATTCTCAGGTTGAGTTTTACTTCCTCAGTCTTTGCTTCTTCATCAAGTATTAATTACCAGTGTCATATCCAACAAGTCTCATCACTTTACTCTCCCCTCTGCTGACAGGACAGCTGGTGGCACACTCTTCTCTTTGCAAGTTAATAGTATATCTGAATATCTGATGGAACTGCCAGAGGAAGCCTGTTTATCAGGACTGAGTCATCTGGGCGTGTGTGTGTTGAATGGTGCAGACACACAGGTATAAATTATGCATGAAAATGCCCTTAGCTGTGCCGGCTGACATGGAGCTCTATCTATCGATATGTCGTGCTCTTTGCACATTTCCCCAAGGGTGATTCCTGGTGATGCAATCAACCTCAGGCCCAGCCATTAAACAGGGTTTACCCTGGAGGTAGGCTTGGAAGTCAACAAAGAGAAAAACCTCTTCAATGTTGCACCTCCATCAAGGATGAGCTACAAAGACCTATTTGTAAGGTTGATTAAACACATTATTAAACGTGCTTCTGAGAAAAGTAACAAAACAGAAGTCAAATATGTGTATTAATTCCTGCCAACCTGTAGAAAATCAATGGTTCTACATTTATGAATGGATATCTAAGAAATGTTGGTAATAAAGTGAGTGCACAAGGACTACAGCGTTCCTGCTGACACAGGCAAAGAGGAGAAACACGCGTATTCTGGTGTAATACCACAGAGTGGAATGTGACTCAGAAGAACTCGAAACCAGTGATACGTCATCCGTACGAGAACTCTAAAACCACAGTGTTTCCTCAGATATCCTGTGTTAATGCTTTTTTCTCTGACCCCTAACACTGAATGAGTGTGTTTGAGCCACCACACACAACCACACACACATAAAGGACTGAAACCTACCAGGTTGTACATGCCCAGGAGGAGGGCCTCGATGCAGCCATTGCTCTGGCGATCCCTGCTGGCAGTGATCCGCAGATAAACCCACACCAGCTCAGGCAGGAACTGCAGGGTGAAGCGGCGCAGGCGGTCCTCGGAGCTCCGGTACAGCTCGAACAGCTGGTGGCACACGGGCTCCAGCAGCTGAAGCACGAGCCGAGAGCAGGCTTTAAATCGTTGTCATGTGGTCCTGAGGTTCCTCTAAAAGACTGTTTTCTATCACTATCATTTTGACATTTCATAGCAGCGGTATGCGTTTTGGTTTATTGGAAGAAAAAACCTAACTGTTCTGTAATTTTGCCATTCCATAAGTTTTTAAATAAATCAATTTTCTCTCTTAAGTAAGCTTTTTTAAGAAGCCCATAAGTTCTGTAAGATAACAAATCTTATAAAGTTAATTAAATATGTGGAAACATATGTGTTTCTGTTTCTGCAGAGGATTAAACACCTCTATAATAAGCTTGACCAGAGTACTTAGACACCTGTGTAATAATGTATATATATTTTTTTACTGTAATGTGACAGAGACAAAGCTTTGCTGTCAGTGTGTAGAGTGTCAGTAAGCGGAGAGGTTGGAGGTGATTCACTGCCATGAAAGCTAGGGCAGATTAATTCTCAGGAGAGTGTGTGTTAATACTGTCCAGGGGTCAATGGAGTGAGTGCCCACGCAGCACTGCCGTGCGACTGCCTGTGTGTGCTGTAAGCAGCAACTCATTAATGAACTTGGCAAAGGCTTCGCCCTCAATGTCGTCGGCAGGAAGCAAATAGATAACTAAAAACAAATTAACCAAATACCAGAGTCAGGACAAGTATTTTGCAATCCCCCGCCCTCTGTCTTCCACATGTACACAAACACACAAACATGTGCGCACAAACCTCCTGGGTCGCCCGTCTCAACATTAATGGGCTTGTGCAGCTACACCGATGACGCTAATGGAATTTGAATTGCTGGATGCTTGACACTCGAATTTGACCGTGAAACAGAGGGAGGCAAATGGTGGCAGACAGAACTGGGCACACCTACTGAGCTGCGTCTGTGTGGTGAATAAATACACCTCTGGCTGGACAGGTTTGGAGCACAGAAGTGCACAGAGGTTAGAGCACAGAGGCGCTTATGTATCTCAGCGGTGTGGAGCATTTTGCTTCTCCGGTGGACAGCAGATGGTCTAGTTTGTTTTGCAAAGCCTGCGCTCACGTGTGTGAGTCTCTGTGTGTACTTTTACGTGTGTGTGTGTTTGTGTACATCACACAGGGAACAGTGTGTGCCAGCGCGCAGGTGATGTGACGGCGGCTGTGCCCTTTCGGCGTAGTCTCACAGAAAAACAACACATGCTTTTGTGAGTGTGTGTGTGTGAACGTGTACCCTCAGGAAGGAGTTGTGTGTGGTTCTCTTGCTCAATGTCCACTGAGACATCACCATGTGAGTCACAAGCGACGCAAAGAGCAACCGCCGTGGACTGTGTGTCCTGTGTGTATCACCTCGTTGTTGGGGTCCTGGATGACTCGGTAGAGAGCCGGCACCAGGGACTTCTTCAGGTGAAGGCTGCCGGCGTAGCTGGGGATGTGGGTGTCTGGTAAGGACTGAGGAGGAGAGACACACACAGGGCTGCTGAGCCAGCACGCACAGTGGGTTCACATCTCTGAAAAGCGATTGAATAAGTAACAAATAAAGCCAAGCTGGAACACCTCCTAGGGATGGGTGTATTATTGGGGCACGTGAGACGTTGGAGACAGCTGTCCCTTTTAAGAACAACAGCCAGACAGGAAAGCAAAACCAGAACCGTGAAGGTCCAAAACTTCACACTGCGTTGTTTACGGTTGTTTTACTACCTGCGACGCTTAAAAAAAAGTGGCCGGAAAAAAAACAACTTTCTTAATGGAATGACTAATGCAATGGGGTGAATTTGGGGGAGCTGTCCACAAGACAGAGGGTCCAGGCAGGACTTTTTTTTATTAATAACAGAAGGGGAAGTAAAAGGAACTGAAAAAACAGTTATGATGTCCGGCTGACAAAAATGCCCCACGGTGGTTTTTGTCAAGATTGAGCCTTGTCTGCAGATGACAGGCGACAGACATGGCCTCTCAGTGGGATCACTGTGACCGGGCAAGTTGTGCTTCCCTTCTGCAAATGACCACTCTGAACCAGACCGATCCATTTTCATCCGTTCTCTCACTTCTGCTTTGGTGCCCACATCTTTCACCCCATTAACTCTAGAGGACTTCTTTCCTTTAAAGTCTAGCCCTGAGTGGTTTTCCCCCTTTGATGTCCTTCTACTTCTTTCCACAAGAAAAAACAAAAAACTAGAATAAAAGGCGACAGGAAAAAAGTCAAAGCCAAAACAACTGCTAAAATCTCTATTTCAAGTACATATATATATATTCTAATAGCTGACACTTTAGCTATTGAGAGGATTTATAACAGAGATGTCCCTAATGCGTGGAGGAGCCTCTGCCTTAACAGCATGTTTGTGTTGAGCTGTTCCTCACTGTTTCTCTTGCCAACCTCTCCCTTCACGTTTCAGAGCCCATCAGACTGTTAAACGTTGCTAATTTAGAGATTTGCACTAAGGTGGACGTGGACAATCAAGATAGTGTCTTTTAAAGACGACATTGGGCAGGGTCACGGGGGACACTTGTTTAAAAGGCAATCACAACCCTTTCTCATTGATTTAACCAATAGAGGTAAGATGGTGGACTGCTGTTGATGTGTGACGTTTACCTTGAATTCGGAGAGCCATTCTTCAACAACGCCGCGCTCTGAACCCCGCATCTTTGTCAGAGACACCCCCCTTGGCTGCCTGATGCAAATGAAGAGATGAGGGATGAAAACAGAGCGAGGGAAGAAGAGAAAACAAGAACAAAATTCGGCTACATGAAGATTGGCAGAGATCCAAAGACATGATGGCAGATATTACTGATGTTTTATAGTTCTCACATGTGCCTTACGTCACATTACAGAAAGCTATTAATAAAAACTATGAAAATCTTTAGGATTTTAAATTTTATCTCATTCCTTTAAGTTTTTTTTACTTTTGGCTAAACATGCCCAAAGTCATCACTGGGCCTGTTCCAAAATGAACTTCAGCACACTGGACAGAAATTACCGTTTCATAAATCCACCCGAAAAGGTTTGATGTGAAAGATGTGTATCTCTGGCTGTGTGCGTGTGTGTCACAGGATGCCATGACAGGCTGAATGCAGACTGAAGGTGATATTCAAAGGGAATAAAACAATGCTCGATTATGTAACCGCTGAAGCACAGAGGAGCTTACTCTTGAAGCCTTCCTTTCTAAGCTGAACAAAAATGTCATTCAACAAAGGCCATTATGATCGAGTTAGCCTTATCAAATTTTACAGAGATAAAAGCTGACAGACTGCTTTTTAAGCAAATAAACTGAAATATGTCAGCATGCTCTCCAACAACCCTCTGTTGTTACTTTCAGTTTTCCTCTTTGTACTCTAATTTCAAAGAGGAAAACCCCCACTTAACATTTCACTAGATGCTTCATTAAAAAGACCAAACACACCTATGTTTTTGCATCACATATTATCAAAAATTAGCTTATGATGGAGATCAGATGCTCATTGAAGAAGCTATTATGTAAAAAAACATCCATATTGTGAATCTGTTAGCATGCAACATGTGAGAGAAGACATGAATAAACCCTCTGCTCCTGTATGTGGGTCAGTGTTGGTTAACTTTTCACTGTGCGCAAGTTAAGAGCAAAAAAGAATAATCCTAGATCACAAATGTGATGCATGTGTGTGGGCAAAACTGGGAAAGTAGTTGTACTAGTATCCTTTAAGCCTGGAAGCATGTAGAAGTGCACGTTTGCACTCCTAATGCTTTCTGCAACTGTAAGCCACGGAGCTGAGACAGGCTGGTTTAATCTAATTTGTGAAACCCAAATCAGTACAGGCCAGATCATTTGCAAAAAACTCTCCGGACTCTTTGGAATCATGACTCTCTCTCAGTTTGGCGCATGTTTCTTATTAGTTCAAACAGAAAATAATCACGTTATCTGTATTTGCTATGAGCTGGATTCACTCTAAAATAAGTTTTTACTGCACAACATATGAACAATTCAGCTAAAAATCACACTTTAAAACATATATGCTGTGCACACAGACGCCTATTTAGTCTCTTTGTTCTGATGGTAAAAGGAACCAGGATCCCTCTACCTGCCATCTGACTGTAATTTGTACAAAGGGAACAAAGTCAGTCAAAAGCACTGGAAGCTGAAAGTGCCCAAAATTACAACTGAGGAAAAGGTCAGGGGCCTTAAAACTTGTCATTTTTTACTTTATCTAAATTAAGAAGGTTAATTCTGCCCCGATCGTGGTAGACTGACACAAAAAGCTATTTTAAGTATCAGTGTGAGCCGTGACAGAATGTTGAAAACTTTCCACCTATGCGGTAAACTTCAAAATGAAAGTAAATCGGGTAAAGCCCCTGACTTTTGATCCAGAAAGATGATTGACGGTGAACAATGCACCATATATCATGTAACACATTAGGGGAAAAATTTGCTACATGGATGGCTTTTCCCACAGTCTGCACAGACATTTATTTGAACAGAAGTCAGATAAGACTTTGGTCTCTCCTCTAAACTAAACAGAAGTCTTGACCGATATCAAAGTACATCCCTATCCAGAGGAAAATACTTAACTTGAAGTGGCTGCTCTGCCCTGTAAATGTTTAGAGGAACTCGGCCATCTCAGATAGGTGTTCAGGGGTTCTGTTCTAAACCAAATCTATCATAAATAATGAAAGAACTCTCAGTAATGTGCCGAGAAAGATAAAACTCTTAGAAAAGAGGCTCAAAAATGTAATTGGCTGCTGGGTTTCAGAAGAACAGATGAAGATATGATCTGCTCCAATCATTTTTGTGCCCCCTAAATCGGACTCCATGAATTGAAAGGGAGCATTTAGTTGGCTTGTTCAGCTCTTTATGAAAGGCTGACTCATTCATTTCCTCACGCTTGTCAAGCTGTCAAAAGACTCGAGGGGGGAAATTTTCCATCGACAGGGCAGGCTTATCGGTTACCATGGGAACAGCAGTCAAGTGACTTTCAGGCAAGCTTCTTTTGTGAAAACTGTTTTGATTCAATTACTCTGAGAAGTACCGTGTATAAATGAAGAGGGTGATCAGGCAGGTCGGAGATGAGATCCAGAGCTGACAGCGTAACCTTCACAAAAGTAGGACGTCGCCATTTGTTGTCATGTGCCATTTTGTCATTATGTTGACTCGTTTTTGAGAAAGAATATAAACTATGTTCTAAGATGACACAAGAAACCTATAACAAATGTAAATATAGGTGCTCAAGAGTAAAAAAAAAAAAAAGACAACAGAAACTGGACAAGAAGCTTACCTCAGTGACCCAGAACTCAAATCTCCACAGGGAGATGCAAATGGTTTTCCACAGCGCCACACATCTGTCACTCCATGAGGGTCACCTGCAACAACAAGGGGAGAAGAAAAAAAAAGAAATGACCCCTCAGCACACGGCAGAACGCAAATGAGTGACACAACGCTCATCTGCATAAACAAAGTCAACTTACACTGTTTAACCTCAAAGGTCCGGCACATCCAAGTTATCGCCACATCCCTGAATCACCACCAAAGAATGCTCTGACTCATCCTCATACTCTGCAGTGTGGGCTGACAGTGGCGCATTTAATGTCTTTACGGCTGGTGCCCAATCCAAAATTTGAACCGTGCGACCCGGAGGCCTGCTGTGAAAGCCACGTTCTCCATGGGAGAGATTTGTTTTTCCCTACGAAACACGTTTTAAGAGGTACGGTTGAGCCAATTGTGAAGTTCCCTTTTTGCTGAATGGCAACAGTCAGCTGGCCGAGCCATGCCATGCTGGGACCTACACCCAGAGAAAATACCGGGTTTGACAGCATGACGAAGAGCTTCTGTCAGACAGATTTGTCACGTCCATGAGGGGCAGACGGTGCTTCTCTCAGCTCTCAATTTGCATGAAAATGACTTTCAACTCAGCCGTGTTTATCTGAACTAATCAATTCATCAGAGTGAGATAAATCACCGTCTTGGAGTGATGTAAAAAAAATAATTAAAACTCTGTGGGAAGCTGTAGAGAAGACTTATTTCCCTTAACCTCCTGTATGGTAAGAACTTATTCATATGATTAATTACATAAAACTCCGGCAGGAAAAGATGCATATGCATAAAACCTTGTTCCTTTATATCTGAGCTCTACAACGTAAAAATGTGCTCATAATCAATTTGAACACCAGATATCCCAAAGAGCTAGTACCTTTTTGGGAAGTACTAAGTATTTCATCCCTCCAGGTCTGAAAGCATCTCATGTCAGAACCTGGGAGTCAACAGTGCCTGTTTGCTAAATATTTCATACGCTCAATGAGGCCTGTTGAGTGACAATAAGCTAATGTTCCTCCAAGGGCCGCGCTGCCTTTGTACCGGACTCGCTCATTGTCTCGTAGCAGATTTCACGAGGGAATAGGAGAGTGCCAGCCCTTCCTGTTTACAGCACTTCAAACCCGCCTATCCAAATTACACTGCTTAACATTCTGTCGACCGGCGCACCGGGTTCAAACGCAGCCGGCAGGAGCAGTCTGCACACAAACAATGGGCTGCATTGTGAGTCAGGCAGGTAACAGCTGAGCCATTGCTATTCTCAATTAACACCTCTCTAAAACGCAAGTCAAAAGTGTTATTTCTTATATCACACACTTAAATCAATGTGGCCCAGAGAGGCTGAACGTGTTTATTCACAGGATCATATTCTGGAGGGAACAGGGATACCGTACGCACTGCCATAGCCAGAATATGACTAAAAAAAAAAGGGCCACCGACCAGATTCTGCATACTAAGTTGGTCAAACAGCACTAATAAAGGAGGAGGTACTTTTCTTTAACGACTCCGGCTATGGCAGATCTTATCATTGTGGACTAGGGTCTGAGCAGCCTCTCGACTCCATGAGGAGAGCTTTTGTGAGATAAGCTGAGGACACACTCAGGCAAATCCCCCTACAACTCCCAACAAGTTTACGACTCTGAACGCAGCATCCAGAATGCTGTGACGAGCGAGGGGGGGGGGGGGGCACACCCAAACGCAGCAGATGACAACAGCGTGTGAGGGTTTACCTTACCGTTGGTACACAAAAAATGAAGGGTTTCCAAAAGTTGGAACACAGTTGAAAAGGGATGAAAGGAAGCTGTTTCTTTGAGTTAGCGCTAGACAGAGGGCTCCTTCAGATACCTTGCTTTACTCAGAATTTACTACAAGCCGATGAATCATATCCGTGACTAAAGGGTTCATTAAGTCGGTGTAAAGAAACTCAAGGTAACAGTCCTGCAGGCGGAGGGAGAGACACGGTTTGGCTCTGCCGGCCCGGGCAGGGGAGGCCAGATTACCCTGATCTACAGCCGACACGGGCTTTGTGCTAACAAGGATAAACCAATCAACTCAACACTGAGCTCCTAGCAGTTCTTAGAGACCAGGCGTGTTAGCAGTTCCCCCTTCGTCTGCCAGCAGCTTTGCTTTTACTACTCAATGACGTAGCAAGAGGGAACCTTATGAGAATTTCAACCACAGAGGAGGATTCAAACGTACACAAAATAAAACATGTGCATGAAAACACTTGGCAGCAAAAGCAGGACAAAGAGTGTAAAAATATAAAGACGGTCGCTTAGTGTTGCAGACCTCCAAACCAATTTGTGGCCAAGACCCTAATTCAGACTTCATGTGAACCAGAAGGTGGCAAAAGTAAAGTGAGCTTGTTATTTCAGAAAGGTCTAGGGCTGTTAGTATTGGAAGTTAGTTCTGACAGTCGTGGTACTTTCTTTTCTGGGATGTACAGGAACAGAACCTGCTCTTGTGTGAATTCAAACCTAGAGATGCTATTGAATATATTAATATAACAATAATCAAAGTCAAATAAGGCTTGGTTCCATTTGTGACGACATCTGCCAGAAGTGCGGACGACTCCCCAAACAAATGAAACAAAAAAATGCTAATTAAGATGGAGTCGGAGCGTGTGCCCGGAGAGCGTTTGCTGCCACCCGTCTGACTTCTTCTCTCTGCTCTAAATGAGAGGAGCCGGGTTTCAAGCAGAGCCAGGGGATTTTTCAAGGTCAGCTTAGCTCAGCCAGCCATGAATTATTGAACTTGAGCAAGCTCTGAGCCTGAACTGTTCGGCCGCCTCTCGGGCCGTGCTGCTTTCCACAGGTTTGTTTTCCCACCCGTTTGTCCCGTTTGTTTATCCAACAATGTCAGTCAAACCGTCGATTTGTCTTATTAGATTTTCTGTTCATGAGTAAAATCTCTTCAAATGGAGAAATAAAAAGTGGAAAAGAAAAAAAAGAAATGACCTGAATATGAACCATGAAAGACTCAGGGTTTTGCTACATGTGTTAACTATTATCCAACATTAACTTAAGTTAGTGGTTGTACGTGGTACCTTTAAATCCAGGTCAGACAAAACATTTCTTTTTTTAACCAAGGTTGTCTCTTCGTCACCCTTTGCTCCTCCGGGTAGGAAAAAGATACACAACCCAGGATTTAACGACCAACTGTCATCCCTGAGTGCTATTTTTAGTGCCAGTGTTCTGCGTCTTTCGGGTCGGGCTATTTCTGTTTTTTTTGTGCCGATATTGTGCAGTGGTGTGCAGTCAACCACCAGTCTGCTGATTTGCACATGAGCACGTGCTGTAAAAGCCCAACTGCCTGAGTAAGTCAGAACTACTCCTCTGCCCTCCTTCTGCTGCTGGCAAAGTCACCCGGCAGCCACCGCTAACCTCTGCGGGGCATTCGCTGGACGTGAGACGCGCCCGACGTTTATCCAGACACTTTCCCCGGGTTTGAGGGATTAACTTTAATACCCGACTACGGTGACTCAGCCCGGTGTAATCTCTCTGTGCTCCTCTCCGTCGTAACAACAGCCAGCCACTCACCTGCGGCGCAGGCTCTGCACAGGAATAGAACTCAGGCTATTTATAGCAACTACTGCATTGGGAAATTAACCCATAGGCCTTGTGTTGTGATATAGTCAGCGGGTCAGACGAGTTCAGAAACACGCACCGCCCAGACGGGAAGTCAGCAACGGACTTAGGAGAAAACACCCCAAACAGGCAGGTGACAGTCATTGAAGCCAGTCTATCTGTAGCGTTTTCCATATTACAAAGGGACAAAGAGAATGAGTAATACCATCCTGTGCAGATTTTTGTAAGACGAGTAATGTATGAAAACATTCCCCAAAACGCAGAACGGTAGAGGGATGAAATGAAAACCTGGCTACCTCTCATCTCTCATTGGGCAGGCCGGGGGAACTGAGGCGTACGCACATCCAGGGCTAAAATTAGCTCTGCTGCAGCTGCAGGGCCAGACGTGAGGGGGTGAGCCAGTGATGCAACTACGTTAACACAAACACACACACACACACACACACACAGGATTCCACCAATTAGACTGGGTGAGCCGCAGGGTACACAGGTGACTGCCAACTGCATCCTGCCCCCCCCACCTCTCACTGCAGGGCAAACAAATGCCTTCAATGCAAATGCAGTGCACATCCACGCCCATGGACAGGACAAACACACACACACTGCCTGCATCACACACTTTGGCGTGCCCTGTAGTCCCCCTAGTTTAAACAGGCACATCACGTCTGGAAAGGCATGCGATTGAGCTGTTTCCTGTTAAGATTGAGGTTTTCAAGGATACGAAACAGCAAAGGAGTCAAGAGACGGTTTTAAAGATAGAGACTGACAGACTTGGCAGGGAAACTTGGAAGTAAACACACCAAACTCTCTTCAACACAATAAAACCCCCCTTTATGAAGGTTACAGTGACCAGCAGTTAGTAATGTGTCCAGAGGGCAGGTCCAGTACTGAGGTTCCTTTAAACGACTCCTAATGTTTTTGTTTTAGTAGATTCCAGTGTGTTAGAGGTCCTGACAACTTCGGGTGGACCAAAGTTCAAACGACAGCCACATGACTACAAATACCCCAGTGTTTAGTCCCGCATGCTGTGCTCCAGCAAACACAGGCAAAGGAGCTGTAGTGCCAAATAAGCCGCTCAACATTCTTACAACAGTGAGCCACCTTGGGATTGTAGAACTCGGAGGGGTTCCCCCCAGCTCCGGTATTTGTCGGTGGCTATTGAATATAAAGTAATGTCATAGATACACAATAGCTGCAACGCAAAGTGATCCTGCTGTGCAACAAACACTGGTGCGACAGCCTTCATTTGGCTCCGTCCAGTGCACCGAAAAGATGCTAAGAAATTCCATTAGTGAGGCAAGTTCTCTAAGCATCTGTAGCCAAGTTAATAACATTAGCAGCAGACTTCTGGCCACACCACTTTTTTGGCTAATGAAACACGCCCTC